GTCCCACTGAACTCCCATTTTTTCTCTAGTATCTGACGAATGCAAAAGATCTGATCAATCGTTGATCTGTTTCGTCTGAACACACACTGATGATCCCCAATAATTTCATTCGCATATGGAGTTAATCTTGCCAAAATAATGTTTGATAGAATTTTGTATGAGGTTGAAGCAGAGAAATTCCTCGGTAATTACCACACTCATTCTTGTCCCCCTTCTTATGAATAGGAATAATTATGGATTCCTTTCATTGTTATGGCATCTCTTCCTTATCCCAAATCAACTGAATAAGCTTATGGATCCTCATATGCAACCCTTTGCCACCTGCTTTAATTAATTCCTCTGGAATCTGATCAATACCTGGAGATTTATAACTTTTCAACTTCCCAATGTTCAGTCTCATAAACATTTAAGAGCTGGCGGAAGAAATGGTCCCACCTATTCAGAACCCTGTGGGCATCTGTGAGTGGACATGTGTCCTGCAGAAACAGTAATTAGTAAGGAATGAGGTCGCGTCAAGTTTTTGTTCGGTAGCGGCCAATAGCGTGTTTATTACCTTGAAGTTCAAGTCCAAAGATAATTACAAAGCAATGAGATCCGCCTTTAGTTTGAAAGGTAGTGGCTCCAATGAATTTTCGTCTGTGTTTTAGCCGCTGCAGTCAAATTTCTAAATACCGAACACTAAACCCCTACAACATCCAAAACCAATTTCGCATGTAGAAGTGAGACTAGATGAGTCATAACATTTAAGAAAATCAAGTGACTATCGTCAAATTTCTGTCTTCTTATCGTATCTGTAATGCCATTGCTACAGCAGAGTAAGTCATTCATTCCGCAGATAATACGTCAGAGAAAACAGAAGAGCAGTGGCGGATTGACATTGACAGGGAAAAGCCGACGGATTCGTAGAAGAAAGCGTCCAAGTGTCAATTTGTCCGCCGCTGACCCCACTCGACAACTTGCCGCCTGAGCCACGGCGCGGCCCATTTAAATTGCACGACAATGTGATCGTAAAATGTTCGGGAATCAAGGGGAAATATTAAACCAAATTTCACACAATTATGCTTTTGAAACATTCTTTCCTGGAGGGGAGGGTACTCGTTACTCAGGGCCAAGCAAAGTTTTCATGAACGGCTACGACACAGTCAGTTTCACAGGCTGAAATCCAAAGCAATTTGTACGCATTAATAAAATTATAGTAAACTCTTTTGATATTCATGAGCCAACCAACTCTGTACGAATGAAATAATCGCCAGCGTAACAAATTGCAGAAAAAGTAACAAAGAGTCCCTTTTGCGTCTTATAAATTGTTCTTGTACTTACATAAACAGTTAATGACATGTAGCACGCATGGGAGACGAGGAATTAATTAACTATTTTGAGAACCCCGAAGGGAATACAACATTTTGGAGCAGAGGGAGAGAATTAAATAAATATTAAAGAAACAAATTGGATTGAACTGGCTCAGAATACGGCCCTTGTGAGAATGGTAATGAGAGTTCGGGTCTTGATCGTTAGGTTCGTATGAAAATCGGCGAATCAAGAAACTAAACATTTTCAAGTTCTCGCGGACCCCCGAAAACCTTTCCGAAGGCACCAGTGTGCCCGAAAACCTACTGCTGGCGACCACCGATGCAGGTCATCCAGAGTTAAAAAAAATAATAACTTTGCAATGTAGATATCTAGATTCGACAAGAGTTAGACCATCAAATCGTTCGCTTTTCCCACCCTGAACTGGCGAAATCCAAAGAAAGCCAAGTTTAGGGATAAGGCAAAAATATGAGTCATCCGCACGAGTGATTACGGGCCCTGACATCCGCGACGGAAATAAACAGGAAGACGCCGTCTCGTGGCGTCGTGTGCAAGCGACGTCTTCCGTGTTGCGACGCCGTACAGTTTCGCATTCATTGAGAAGAGGTTGGCAACGAGCATCAGACGAGCGCCACATGAAGAGTAAGCTACACAAGGCGCAGTTTACCACTTCCCAGTGCTTGGGCTTCTTCATCTAATCGGCAGTTGTTCGGGTTGAAATTCAAACTGCTTTCATTATTTATTTCAATTGATAATTAAGCCCTAAATGTCAAACCAATCTCACAACATCATGGACGACGTCACCGCCTTGAGAGCCTTATCTTGCATTTCGTCGTATTTTAATTTTTGATTCCCATAAAGAAACACTACATAATTTTGTGGGGTTATTTCACGTAACACAGACTCCACAAATTTCACGCAAAACGAGTAAGTGTAAAGAAACTTGGTCTTGGAAAAAAAAATAGTCACTTCAAATTATTCTGTGAGCCATAAATTATGACAGTCATTCTTAATTATGTACGTAAAAAAATTAAATTCTCCGCGAGTGTTCATTCTGCTTGAATCGATGCCTTGTTGAAGATTTGCTCTTTCCAATAAAACGCATTGCGTAGAAAATGAGAAAAATAATAAGGATTTGACCTCGCAATGTAACATTCTCTACCTTGAATTTCGTGGCTGATAATTTTGGGTTAACGCCAGAAAATAACTGCGCAATCACTTAAAATGTATAGAAAAGGTGAGAATGAAACAGGATATAAAGTCATTGTCCTTAAACTTTGCTGGCGTTCGCTGAGAACTTTGCCAACTAAAAGCAAATGGAATTTGCCACTCCTCCACGTGTCCTTCGCGGACTCATTCTGAAGGCTTCGATTCCTTCGCTTATGCGCAATCACGGGGTCCTCAGTGGCCGCGCGGTCTGAGGAGTGGGCCTTGTACCTCTTGGTCGCTGGGACCCTGGGTTCGAATCCCACTTAAGGCATGGATGTTTGTCCGCGTTTTTCTGTGTTGTGCTGTCCTGTGTGCAGTTAAGAGGCCTTGCGACGGGCCGATCCCTAGTCCAAGAAGTCCTACCGAATGTCCATAGATCAAGCCAATGCTCAGGCACTTGAAGAACGGGTAGTTCTCAGTATCCCAGTACACGTAATCATGAATGCATTGCCTGTTAATTGGATCAGTTTCTTCGAAGTTCCTTTAGTGAGGTTTGCTCGTTCGAATGAGATACGCAACACAAATTGGCGAATTCACGGAGTCTGCGCCGCGTAGTCTGTCACAAACTGACCGACGTTTCAGAGGTGCTTACCTGCTTACTGTCTCCGTCATAGGGCCGATGACGAATGCAGTAAGCGCCTTTGAAACATTGATCTGTTTCTACCAGACTACGCGGCCTAACACACCATTGCCAACATCGCGATAAACAGAAGTGGTCGTGGAATATTTTATGATACTGACGAAGAATTTATCTGGAAAGATGTGAGTCGCGATACAGAACTTAACAGACAACACTTGTAGGTAGAAGCTGCTTTTCGGAGAAAATATAGTCTCGAATTTGGGAACTTAAATGTTCTCGAGACCTACTATCCTACGAAAGTTTGGATTCTACTTACGAGTTTCACTCCTTCAAATCCAAGAACAACAACATCGTAATCATCACCGCTGTGAAAACCTCAAATTCCCTAGGGCAAGGACCATACAGTGGCCTAACGATCAGACATGTCATGTTCCATGTACAGCCAAGGTCCGTGCGCCAATACGGTATAAAATGGAGCTGGAACTCTGGAGTCCAGCGCACAGACGTGGAGACATGGCGGGCCGACAGATCTCCGCGTTGGCACTGGTGATAATCTGCATTTGTAGCAGCCTCGCGTCGGAGGAGCAGGCCTCAAGAAAACCAATTATTAGAGTGCAACAAGGTTTGCTGAAGGGAAAAGTTTTAGCTTCTATCCGAAACAAGACAAAGTACGTGGCGTTTCTTGGAATTCCGTACGCCAAACCTCCTGTCGGTGACCTCAAGTTCAAGGTAACGAGGAGATGATAAGTAACAACGTAAGTTTTACATTGCGGTCTGCGTTTTGTGAAAAGTACATAAATCATTCGGAGCGTCGTATTCGCAAAATATCGCCGTGTCCAGAGGAAAAGTGCCACCCAAATTACCTAAAGACCTTAGAACCTAAAACGTCACATCATACGTAAAATAACTAACATTGCGTGGGAGATAAATTGAATTAATAAATATCGACTTTCAATAGACTTGTTAAAGCCGATAAAAACGGGAAATAAACCAGCGGTAAATTACGTGAATTGAATCCAATGTCTCTTGCACAAAGACTGTCAGGATCGGGATTCCATTTGTAGGGGTTCAGATGACCACGGGCGATTTACTTCAAGCAGGATATAATTCAAAATCAGACTTTTATTTCTGATACTCTTATAATGACAATTGCATGAATTCGAACGAGGTTATTAATTGGTGTCGCATGAACTGTAAATGACGAATACACACGCCGTAATCTTAAAAGTCATATTTTCAGCTTCTACGGTACCAAACCCCAGCAGATCATCATGAAATTATGGTCTTTAACTTCGAATGTCGTATTTACGGCTTGTTTAACGACGATATTTGTAATCTAAAGTGCATTACGTCGAATGATGGAACGAGTAATGAACAATAAATTGTAAAATACTTTGAAAGAAAGGACTACGGCCTAGTTTCCGGTACTATCACAGAATGTGCCTGAAAGAAATAAATAAAACCACGAAAAACTTATGCCAGGACAACCGGTCTCGGACCTACATCGAATAGATTGTAGGAATGAGATTATTTAATTCTAGAGGCAGGTTAGAAGCATTAACGCGAAATTTGCACGAGCTTTTCTTGTACGTAAATAATTTATATTTCGAGTCTAACAACTTGAAATTGTTTACCAGCCACAATTATTCACATACGCAAACACGTCGCTAAATTCCTTTCTGATTTACCATTCCTGGTAAACCTGATAATGGAGATGTCCAACTAACTAACCAACTAGATGGCTTACTGAACCCAAAAGTTCATCACAGAACTAACCAAAGCCCTCCACCTGACCCTGTCCTGGTCCAACGAAATCCAGTCTCCTTCAACTCCTATCTCCCATAGATCCCGCCTGAGATTATCCTCCCATCTACGTCTAGGTCTCC